GGGAATTTTGGGATTCTGGTGGGGAATTTCACGATTCCAGCGGGAATTTTGGGATTCTGGCAGGAAATTGTGGGATTCTGGCGGGAATTTTGGGATTCTGGTGGGGAAATTCACGATTCCAGCGGGAATTTTGGGATTCTGGTGGGGAATTCAGCGATTCTGATGGGGATTTTACGGTTCTGGCAGGAATTTCGGGAATCCAGCAGGGAATTTTGCTATTCTGGTGGGGATTCCAGTGGGAATTTTGTGATTCCAGTGGGGATTCCAGTGGCAATTTCACGATTCTGGCGGGAATTTCACGATTCCCGCAGGAATTTCTCAATTCTGGCAGGGAATTCCATGATTCCAACAGAGATTTCGTGATTCTGGCAGGGAATTTCATGATTCCAACAGGAATTTCTCAATTCTGGCAGTGAATTTCATGATTCCTACAGGAATTTGGGGATTCTGGCAGGGAATTCCATGATTCCAACAGGAATCTGGGGGATTCTAGCAGGGAATTTCGCCATCCTGACGGGGATTTTACGGTTCTGGCAGGAATTTCGGGAATCCAGCAGGGAATTTTGCTATTCTGGTGGGGATTCCAGTGGGAATTTTGTGATTCCAGTGGGGATTCCAGTGGCAATTTCACGATTCTGGCGGGAATTTCACGATTCCCGCAGGAATTTCTCAATTCTGGCAGGGAATTCCATGATTCCAACAGAGATTTCGTGATTCTGGCAGGGAATTTCATGATTCCAACAGGGATTTCATGATTCTGGTGGGGAATTTCATAATTCCAACAGGGATTTTGGGATTCTGGCAGGGAATTTCGCCATCCTGACGGGGATTTGGTGATTCTGGCAGGGAATTTTGGGATTCTGGCAGGGAATTTGGGGATTCCAGCGGGAATTTCACAATTCCAGCGGGATTTGGGGATCCCTGGTGCTGACGGCTGCTCTCTGCTGTTGCAGTTCTGGCACAAATCGTGTTTCCACTGCGAGACGTGCAAGATGACCCTGAACATGAAGAACTACAAGGGCTACGAGAAGAAGCCGTACTGCAACGCGTGAGTGCCGCTCCGGGGGCTCCCGTGGGATATTCCCGAGGGATATTCCTGTGGGATATTCCTGTGGGATATTCCTGTGGGATATTCCTGTGGGATATTCCTGTGGGATATTCCTGTGGGATATTCCTGTGGGATATTCCTGTGGGATATTCCTGTGGGATATTCCTGTGGGATATTCCTGTGGGATATTCCTGTGGGATATTCCTGTGGGATATTCCTGTGGGATATTCCTGTGGGATATTCCTGTGGGATATTCCTGTGGGATATTCCTGTGGGATATTCCTGTGGGATATTCCTGTGGGATATTCCTGTGGGATATTCCTGTGGGATATTCCTGTGGGATATTCCTGTGGGATATTCCTGTGGGATATTCCTGTGGGATATTCCTGTGGGATATTCCTGTGGGATATTCCTGTGGGATATTCCTGTGGGATATTCCTGTGGGATATTCCTGTGGGATATTCCTGTGGGATATTCCTGTGGGATATTCCTGTGGGATATTCCTGTGGGATATTCCTGTGGGATATTCCTGTGGGATATTCCTGTGGGATATTCCTGTGGGATATTCCTGTGGGATATTCCTGTGGGATATTCCTGTGGGATATTCCTGTGGGATATTCCTGTGGGATATTCCTGTGGGATATTCCTGTGGGATATTCCTGTGGGATATTCCTGTGGGATATTCCTGTGGGATATTCCTGTGGGATATTCCTGTGGGATATTCCTGTGGGATATTCCTGTGGGATATTCCTGTGGGATATTCCTGTGGGATATTCCTGTGGGATATTCCTGTGGGATATTCCTGTGGGATATTCCTGTGGGATATTCCTGTGGGATATTCCTGTGGGATATTCCTGTGGGATATTCCTGTGGGATATTCCTGTGGGATATTCCTGTGGGATATTCCTGTGGGATATTCCTGTGGGATATTCCTGTGGGATATTCCTGTGGGATATTCCTGTGGGATATTCCTGTGGGATATTCCTGTGGGATATTCCTGTGGGATATTCCTGTGGGATATTCCTGTGGGATATTCCTGTGGGATATTCCTGTGGGATATTCCTGTGGGATATTCCTGTGGGATATTCCTGTGGGATATTCCTGTGGGATATTCCTGTGGGATATTCCTGTGGGATATTCCTGTGGGATATTCCTGTGGGATATTCCTGTGGGATATTCCTGTGGGATATTCCTGTGGGATATTCCTGTGGGATATTCCTGTGGGATATTCCTGTGGGATATTCCTGTGGGATATTCCTGTGGGATATTCCTGTGGGATATTCCTGTGGGATATTCCTGTGGGATATTCCTGTGGGATATTCCTGTGGGATATTCCTGTGGGATATTCCTGTGGGATATTCCTGTGGGATATTCCTGTGGGATATTCCTGTGGGATATTCCTGTGGGATATTCCTGTGGGATATTCCTGTGGGATATTCCTGTGGGATATTCCTGTGGGATATTCCCGTGGGATATTCCCGATATTCCTCCCTCAAACGCCTCCTCCCCCTGAAATCCTTCCCTGCGGCTCCACGGAATTCCTGGGGAGGAAGCGAAGCCATGGATGGAGGGGTCAGTCCTGGTTAGTACCGGTATTAAACCGGTTAGTACCGGTGTTAAACGGGTTAGTACCGGTGTTAAACGGGTTAGTACCGGTGTTAAACTGGTTAGTACTGGTGTTAAACGGGTTAGGACTGGTGTTAAACGGGTTAGTACTGGTGTTAAACTGGTTAGTACTGGTGTTAAACGGGTTAGTACTGGTGTTAAACTGGTTAGGACTGGTGTTAAACGGGTTAGTACTGGTGTTAAACTGGTTAGTACTGGTGTTAAGCTGGTTAGGACTGATGTTAAACTGGTTAGTACTGATGTTAAACTGGTTAGTACTGGTGTTAAACTGGTTAGTACTGGTGTTAAACTGGTTAGTACTGGTGTTAAGCTGGTTAGGACTGATGTTAAACTGGTTAGTACTGGTGTTAAACTGGTTAGTACTGGTGTTAAACCAGGGTTACACCCCCAATTGCCCTCCCGTGGCTTTTCCAGGTGTTTTTTCCCAGCTGTGGCTCATCCAAAATCCTGGAATTCCGCCGGATTCCAGGCGGAATATTCCAGTTTCTGCCGGGAATGGCGTTTCCGGGGATCGGGAAGAGGCAAAAAAAAGCGGTTGGAAAATAAATGGATTTTTTTGTTGAGCTTTATTTTTGCGGGGTGGGGACGGCACCGTGCAAGCTCCAACTTTTTTACGGGAAAAACGGGAAATTTGGGAATCCTGTGCGTGCTGAGGCTTCGGGATGAGGATTTTGGGGGCAGAGCTGAGTGTCCAGAGCTTCCCAATCCCAGTTTTCCTGGGATTTGCCCATCCCAGGGGTCCTGCAGGGCCGAGGGAATCGGGATAATAATGGGAAATTCCTGACATTCCAAGGGATCCGGCTGGGTTCCCTCTGATGCCGCTTTAACCCTTCCCAGCCCCGAGCACAGAAATTTCCCCAAATCCATCCTTTTTTCCCCGTTTTCCTTGTCTTAAAGCGAAGCTGCTGGCACGGGAGGGTTTTCCAGGGAGAAATGGAAAACTCCAGGCTTGGATTTAGGCTCGGTTCCTTCTCAGCTGCTCCCTGGGAAAGCAGAAATTCCAGAGGTCACCCCGGGAGGAGCCGACCCTTCCCAAATTCCCGGAGTGGGGCTGGAGGGACGCGCTCCTGTCCCGGGAAAAGGGGGTGGAAAAGCAGGAAAAGCAGTTTATCCTGGCAGGGAATTGGCTGCTTTTCCAACAGGCTCCTCTCTGTTCCAGCCCTGGTCTCCTGCCAAATTCCTGAGTTTCTTTCTTCGGGAGAGCAGGAGGAAAAGGGCCGGGCTTCCTCCAGCCAGGACATTCCCCCAGCCGGGAATCCGGGAGAAGCCTTTGGGGCTGGATCCCGGGGCCATTCCCGGTGGGAATTGCTGCTCCCTGTCCCCAGCTGGGCACTGGGAGGGACTGGTGGCCCTGGAAGTGACATTTGAGCACTTGGAGGTGGAAGAAGGCAAAATCCCGGGAAGTGAAAAGCTGGAGAGAGGAGCCGGGCAAGGCTCCAGGCTCCAGCTGCTCCCAGATTTTAGCGAGGTTTGGATATGGAGCTCGCAGGGATCAGGGAGATCCCCCTGGCACAGATCCCGCCTGGAAAATCCCTGCTGAGGGCTCAGAGCTGAATGTTTGGGATGGAGGAGCAGGATCCTGGGCAGGGGCTTCTCAGAGCCAAGGCCAGGCTTTGTGGGATTGCCTGGATCCTGCTGGATCCTGCTGGATCCCTGCCCAAAGGCTGTGGAGCACAGGGATCTGCTCGAGGGCTGGGATTGGGATCACAGGGATCTGCTCCCAGGGCTGGGATTGGGATCACAGGGATCTGCTCCCAGGGCTGGGATTGGGATCACAGGGATCTGCTCCCAGGGCTGGGATTGGGATCACAGGGATCTGCTCCCAGGGCTGGGATTGGGATCACAGGGATCTGCTCCCAGGGCTGGGATTGGGATCACAGGGATCTGCTCCCAGGGCTGGGATTGGGATCACAGGGATCTGCTCCCAGGGCTGGGATTGGGATCACAGGGATCTGCTCCCAGGGCTGGGATTGGGATCACAGGGATCTGCTCCCAGGGCTGGGATTGGGATCACAGGGATCTGCTGGAGCACAGGGATCTGATTCTGTTCCTGCAGCTGGGATTGGGATCAGAGGGATCTGATGCTATTCCCAGATCTGGGATTGGGTTCTTTCCCTGCTGGATCACAGGGATCTTCTGCTGTTCCTGGATTTGGGATTGGGGGTTTTTTCCCTGCTGTTCCTGGAGCTGGGATTGGGATCAGAGGGATCTGCTGGAGTGCAGGGATTGGCCATGGGATCAGACATGGGATTGGGATCAGCCCTGGGATCAGCCCTGGGATTGGGATCAGCCCTGGGATCAGCCTGCCCATGGGATCAGCCCTGGGATCAGCCCTGGGATCAGCCCTGGGATCAGCCTGCCCATGGGATCAGCCCTGGGATCAGCCCTGGGATCAGCCCTGGGATCAGCCTCTCCCGCCCCGGCACAGGATCCTGGGACAATCCCCGGAGCAATCCCGGCCGCAGAGCTGGGCTGGGCTGGGCTGGGCTCTCTGGAGCCGGGCTGGCAGCAGCTTTTCCCTGGAAACGCTGGGAGGATCCAAACCCTTCCCTGCGGCCGATCCCGCTGGGATCTCTGCGGATCGCGGCCGCTTTCGGCGCTGACAAAGGCTCGGGGGAGTTTCTGAGCTCGTCCCAGGAACAGCAGCCCTGAGAGGCAGGATGTGACCTCGGAGCCTCCAATCGCTTCCTTTCTTTAACTCTGCCCAGCCTTTCCCGAATTTTTCCCAAATCCCTGAGCCCTGGGAGCTGCAGGGACAGGGAATGTTTGCATCCAGAGCTGCTCCTTGATGGATCAATCTGCCAAAGCCCCGCGGTTTAAAGTCTCGACATAAACAACACTCGGCGCTCCAGAGGCTTTTCCAAACCCCGGCGGCTCTCGCGTCATCCCTGGGGATTTTTGGGTTTGGGTCGTGCTGGGGGTGCAGGGTCTGGAGCTGGAATTCCCAGATTCCATCCGTTGTCTCTGGAGAGCGATGCCGGGCTGTGCTCACAGGAGTTTTTATCCCGGAATTTATCCCGGAATTTATCCTGGAATTTATCATTTTCCAGCTTGGGAAAGGCTCCAAAGGCAGCAGCTCAAGTGGTTTTTGGGGGAAATTCTGCTTTTAGGGCAGGACTGGGATGGGATGGGATCCATGGGATCCATGGGATGGGATCCATGGGATCCATGGGATGGGATCCATGGGATCCATGGGATGGGATCCATGGGATCCATGGGATGGGATCCATGGGATCCATGGGATGGGATCCATGGGATCCATGGGATGGGATCCATGGGATCCATGGGATGGGATCCATGGGATCCATGGGATGGGATCCATGGGATCCATGGGATGGGATCCATGGGATCCATGGGATGGGATCCATGGGATCCATGGGATGGGATCCATGGGATCCATGAGATCCATGGGATGGGATGAGGAATCATTCAAACCCCTCTCCTGCCGGGAAGGTGGGAAACACAGATCCCACAGAAAGGAGAGTCTGGATTTGCTTCCCTCCATCCCTATGGAATTCTCCTCCCTTCTCCCTGCTCAGGGGGGTGCAGGAATTTGGCCCCCCAGAGGAGCCCTTTCCCCCGCGGGGGATCCGCGGAGCAGCCGGCTGGATGAACTTCCGTCGGGCTGGGAATTGCGGCGCTCATCCCGCTGCTAATGCGGGAGCCAGACGGGAGCTCAGCCCCGGGAGGCTCCGCTGACCTGATTTAGCAGCGCCACAAAAGCCGCCTGCTCTGGGCCTCCCGGGAATCCCCTGCTGGCGGGATTTTCCGGGATTTTCTGGGTGGGAAGGAGGTTTGGGGTCCCTGTGTGGAGTTCTGGAATGTCCTGGGTTTGGAGGGATCACCAGGAATGGTGAGGCCCAGCAATCCCAGCCTGTCCCTGGGAGCGGTGTCGGAACATTCCTGGAGCTCTGGGATCCACCGGGATCACCAGAACATCCCCAGGCCCTGCACGGACACCCCGAAATCCCAGCCTGTCCCTGGGAGCGGTGTCCGAACCCCCCGAGCAGCCCCGGGGCCGTTCCCTGGGGAGCCGTTCCAGTGACACTCTCGGGTGTTTTCGGGAAAATCCTTTCCCAAACTCCACCTGAGTGGAGGAGGGGCTGGGGGCTCCGTTTGGGCAGCGCCAGCAGGAATCCTCCTCCTCCTCCAGCCTGGAATTCCCTGAGGGCTGGAACGCCTCTTCCCCAGGGAGCAGCTCCAGGAGCTGGAGGGAAAAGCTGTGCCCAGTCCTGGAAGATTCCGAATCCGAAATTCCCTGAGAACTGAATCGGCTTTTCCTGAGGGAGCAGCTCCCGGGATCTGGGGGGAAAAGCTGTTCTCGATTCCAGGGGAAGATCCCAAATCCAGAATTCCCTGAGGACTGAATCGGCTTTTCCCGAGGGAGCAGCTCCCGGGATCTGAGGGGAAAAATCTGTGCCTGATCCCGGGGGAAGATTCCGAATCCGGAATTCCCTGATGATTGAATCGGCTTTTCCCCAGGGAGCAGCTCCCGGGATCTGGAGGGAAAAGCTGTTCCCGATCCCGAGGGAGGATCCCGAATCCGTGCCGTTCATCCCACCCCAGCACAGACGGATCCCTCCTGTTAACTCAAGGCTGAGCAAAACCTGCCTCAAACCCTTGCGAGATTCCCTCAAAATCCAAAGGAATCTTAATCCCAGCTCCATCCCAGTCTGGGCTGGAGCGTTGGATTCGGGCTGGTTGTTGTTTTCCAGGTTATTTTTAATTCCCTCCTCCTCCTCCCGCGGTTTCCCGGTTTTCCGGAGCTCCTCAGGGATGGATTCCTGCGTTTCCCAGCCCTGATCTCCTCCCTCATCGCGTGCCCGGAGCAGGGATGCGGTTGCCATGGCAATCCCGGGGATGCTCCGTGTCCGCTCCGTGCCGTTCCCGGAGCACGATCCCTTCGGGAATGTCGGGAAAAAGCGCTGCTGAACCAGGGAAAACCCTCGGGGTTTGTAAAAACCCCGGGCACGGGTGATGGGAATGCTCCCAGGGGGAATTTGGGATCTGGGGTGTCCCAGAATTCCTGACAGCAGGGATCAGCGCTGTGGGGGAGCCCTGGGATCCCCAAAAACCAGCGGGACCCGGCTCTCCCCTGCGGAGGGGACAGCGGGATCCCCTCTCCAGGGGAGTTATCCCAGATTTTGTGTGGATTTGGGAGCGGAGCAGCACCGGGCTGGTGTCGGTGAACGGGATGGGGACAGCGCTGTCCCTGCCCCCCCAGCTCCGGGGATTTCCCAGCCGGCTCCCGCTTTGGGAATTCCACCTTCAGGCTGTGCAAGAGGAGCCCGTGACCTTTTCCCAAAGGCGTTTTCCCCTCTCCCATCTGTGCCGCGGCCCCAGAGCTGCCATCTGCTCCGGCTCGGCTTTCCCGGGGCTTTTCCTGGGAATTGTGGGGCGTGGAGGGCTCTGCTTCCATGGCAGCCGGGCTGGAGACGCTCCAGGCAGAGCTGTGGGACCGGATCCAGCGCTGGGATCAGCTCTTCCCTTTCCTGGCAGCTGAGAGACCCCAAACCCTGCAGCCCCAGCTGGGCTTTTCCCACTGAACATTCCCGGTGATCCAGGGATCCATCCATGCCCTTTTCCACGTCTCCTGGAGGTGGGAATGGGAAGTGTGGGAGCTTCCAGGAGCTCTGGCTGTTCCCGCTCTCCCTGAGCCTCTCCGAGTTCCTGACCCCGTTCCTGTGCCTCGTTCCCGTTATCCCGGTGCGCTTTGTGCCGGGATCGGGGCGTTCTGCAGCACCGGGAAACTCCAGCCCGAGGCTGCTGGGGCTGAAACCTCGCTCGGGGAGAGCTCGGGCCGTGCCTGGGACCCTGCAGAGCCGAGGCTGCAGCTTTTCCTGGGATAACGGGGCCCAGGACGCGGAAAGGTCTGTCCTGGAATCCCACGTGGGCCTGGAACGGCTTCGTCCCCGAGGGGAAAACTCCGTGTTTCCTCTTCTGTGAGAAATGTGACACTGGGGGAGAGCCCAGGGAGAAAAGTGTTGGCTGGGGGAGAGCGCACAGGGAGAAACCCCATTGTTGGAGAAACCCCATTGTTGGAGAAATCCCAATATCCCAGAAATCCCAATGTTTGTCCCAGAAATCCCATTGTCTGAGCACTCCCAATATCCCAGAAATCCCATTGTCCCAGAAATCCCATTGTTGGAGAAATCCCATTGTTGGAGAAATCCCAATGTCCCAGAAATCCCAATGTCCCAGAAATCCCATTGTCCCAGAAATCCCAATATCCCAGAAATCCCATTGTCTGAGCAATCCCAATATCCCAGAAATCCCATTGTCCCAAAAATCCCAATATCCCAGAAATCCCATTGTCCCAAAAATCCCAATATCCCAGAAATCCCATTGTCCCAAAAATCCCAATATCCCAGAAATCCCAATATCCCAAAAATCCCAATATCCCAGAAATCCCAATATCCCAGAAATCCCATTGTCCCAGAAATCCCAATATCCCAGAAATCCCAATATCCCAGAAATCCCATTGTCTGAGCAATCCCAATATCCCAGAAATCCCATTGTCCCAAAAATCCCAATATCCCAGAAATCCCATTGTCCCAAAAATCCCAATATCCCAGAAATCCCAATATCCCAGAAATCCCATTGTCCCAGAAATCCCATTGTCCCAGAAATCCCAATATCCCAGAAATCCCATTGTCTGAGCAATCCCAATATCCCAGAAATCCCAATATCCCAGAAATCCCAATATCCCAGAAATCCCAATATCCCAGAAACCCCACTGTCCGGGCAATCCCCCATCAGCCCAACCCTCTGTGGATGCGTCGTGGGAGCGGGACAGGACCCCTGGAACGTTCCCAACCCTCGGGGTCTGGGCTTTGGGGTGGCACTGCCGGTGGGCTCGCTGATCCTGGAGGGTTTTTCCAGCCCCGGGGATTCCGGGATCGGGAATTGCCGTGTCCTGGCGTTAACGGTGTCCTTCCCTCGCAGACACTACCCCAAGCAATCCTTCACCATGGTGGCAGACACGCCCGAGAACCTGCGCCTAAAGCAGCAGAGCGAGCTCCAGAGCCAGGTGAGCCCCCCCCGAAATTCCCAAATTCCCCATGGGATAAACCCACACCGACCTTTCCTGCGATTTAGGAGCTCTCTGAGCCCTTCCAGCCCTGGAAATTCCACGGTTCTCTGGCTGCTCCCAAATCCCTCCCAGGTTTGGGGTGTGGGTCCCTCCTCTGGGGTCTGTGTTTGCTGTTCCCGTCCCCATCCCGGCTTCTGGGGTTTCCCACAGCTGGGAATGCGCCTCTCCCACGCCCGCTTTGCCTCTTCCCAGCCGGATTCCAGGTGGGAAAGGGCAGGATCCTCACCTGGACGGGTGTGGATTGTCCCAGATGTTCCCTGTGGAGCCAGAAACAAACGGCTGCAGGGAGAGGGACGGGCTCGGAGGAGAATTCCAGGTTTTCCTGGGAAGAGCTGGGGGAGAGGCTGTCCCTGGGGTCATCCTGGAATTCCTTTCGCTCCAGAACCCCGGGAAAAGGGGTGGGAGCATCAGTTTTGTAGGAAAACTGCTGGAAGTGCAGGAATGGGCATTGAGGGGGGGCTGAGCCTGCCTGGGGAAGGGGCTGGAGCACCAGGAGAGGCTGAGGGAGCTGGGAAAGGGCTCAGCCCGAGGAAAAGGAGGCTCGGAGGGACCTTCCCAATCCCTACAATTCCCTGGAAGGAGCCAGGTGGGGGGTCAGGATTTTCCCCAAACTGACAGGATGAGAGGAAAGGGCCTCACGTCGCTCCAGGGAAGGCTCAGGTCGGATATCAGGCAAAAGCCATTCCCTGGAAAGGTTTTCCAGGACTGGAAGGAGCTGCCAGGGGTCACCATCCCTGAAATGTCCCAAAACCCGGAGGTGGCGCCTGGGCTCTGATCCCCGAGGGCTTTTCCAGCCTGAACAATTCCATGTTTTCCTGGGATCCGGCTCTGTCAGAGGCTCGGATGTCACAGCCCCGCTCCGAGCTCGCTGTGCTGGAAATAAACCCATCCAGAGGCGATTCCAGCGGCTGCCAGGAGCGCTCGGGATGTGGCAGCCGCCCTGGGATTCCATTTCATTCCCGTTTTTCCTCGGGAAAGGGGCAGTTGGACAGCCCAGGGGTGCTGTCAGCGAGGCCCCCAGCTCAGCGGGAGGGATTTTCCGAGCCGTTTTCAGTCGGATTTTCGGGATCAGATCCCTCCGAAGGATGCCGTGACCTTCCTCCCTGATCCCTTGGGATGCAGCCAGGAGGAGGAGGAGGAGCAGGGGGAGCCTCACCTGGGGCAGAGCCAGCGGGGTCAGGGCCACCGTGGGGGTCCCCAAAGCTCATCTTTTGTCCCCAAAGCTCAGTTTTTGTCCCCAAAGCTCAGTTTTTGTCCCAGCCCTTCCCCCTGGGAGTGGCCCAGCAGATCCCTGGCTCAGGCTCAGAGCTGAGCCCAGCCTGGGGCTGGATTTGTGTCCCAGAGGTGACAGGGACAGGGACAGAGACAGGGACAG